CACACACACACACACACACACACACACACACAATGGCTTATGTTTGCCTATGAGCAGTAGCATAGACCCTGACGAATGCCCCATACTTTATTTATAACCTAGTTCTTTGGTCTCATTCTCATTTCCATGTCATGGAAGGCGAGCATGTGACAAAACTTCCTGTCACTCAGTAGGACTTCTTCTTTTCCAGCAATGCAGAACTCACTTCCTTTTGAACCTTAGCCCCCACATCCTCATGGTCCACTGGAGTCTTTCTCTAGCTCCCCACCTGATGTTCTTCCGGCCTCCACCCTTTGCCTGGTTCCAGAGGCACCTGCACTTGACCTCTCTGTTAAGGTGGCTCTCACTTCCAAGGTCTACATCAAGTATCACTTGCTGCATAACAAGCTGCTCCCAAGCTCAGGACTTAAAAAACAGCAGGATTTGTCTATTGTTCGGTGGCTCCCTGGCTGGAGGTCTTTCTTGAGGATGCCATTTCAGGTAATATGAGGCTTCTTGGGGGACAAGGTTCATGCACATGGCAGTAGGCTGCTGTCTGTGGACATTATTAGCACCTTTCATGTATCTACCCCAGGCCTTCTTCTGTGTTCCTCTTTGTATCTCCATCTGGTCTTACTATTGATGTCCTACTGTGTTCCCTTTTCTGATCGTGCCTGACTTGGGTTTTGTCTATGTATTGCTGTCAGTCTCTCCTTATTTCTACTGCTGACACCTGTCTGTCACACTCTTCTCCTCTGGATCCTGTCTACCTCCTTTCAGGCCACACCACACTGATCACACCACCTCTGCTGTCCTCCAATGGGAGGCGGTTCTTATTATGTGTGACACTATCACTTATTTGTCTTCTTTGTGACATCAAAACAATGGACTTGAGACCCTTATTGCTGGGAGACAGCCCCCCCCCCAGTTTTGTCCTTCTCTGTACAGACTTACAGACCCTCCCTGCTTCTATTAGCCTATGATACCCATCTCCTGCAGAGTGTAGGCACCAATGCTACAATCACAGTAATATTAGAATAACAACTTAAAAAACAATCATTTTTAGGGGGCCACATGCAGTATACAAAGGCCTGCCTATCTGAGGTCACAGACAGTACCAGCAGCTATTGCTCTATCAAACTGTCGTCTAGAGGGACATCTCTAGGAGTCCCTGAATATCGATGCCCAAGCTTCAGCAGAAAGTAAGGAGCAGAACAAAAGATAGGGAGAGGAAAAGGGTGAGAAAGAGTGAAACACTTGGAAAATCAGTTTTCATGGAGAGTGTGTGGACAAAAGTGAGAAATTGATCTCCCAGGGAGCTGGAGGATTGAGTTAAGTGGATCACTCCTGGCCTCAAGTAGCCCTTGGCATATGTCTTCTGGAACGATGAAGGAATGAAATGATAGATGCCCTGCCTATATGGTTATACTGCTGTGGGATGTTCTGTATGACAAATGTGTTGCTCTGATTGGTTAGTAAATTAAACACTGATTGGCCAGTAGTCAGGCAAGAGGAAGTATAGGTGGGACAAGGAGGAGAAGAATTCTGGGAAGTGAAAGGCTGAGTCAGAGACACTGCCAGCCGCTGCCATGACAAGCCGCATGTGAAGATGCTGGTAAGCCATGATCCACGTGGCAAGGTATAGATTTATAGAAATGGGTTAATTTAAGAAATAAGAACAGTTAGCAAGAAGCCTGCCACAGCCATACAGTTTGTAAGCAATATAAGTCTCTGTGTTTACTTGGTTGGGTCTGAGCGGCTGTGGGACTGGTGGGTGAGAGAGATTTGCCCTGACCGTGGGCCGGGCAGGAAAACTCTAGCTACAGTTCTACAGTTTCTATTGGTTCCTATGCTGCATTTGACTGCTGAATCTGACCTGCCAGCGAAATGTGTGTGATTTTTACCAGGAAGCATCACTGAGGAGAATCAGTAAGGGAAAGGGAGATGTTAGGGAAGGGAACGGGCAAGCAAGTATGATGTCTAGCCCGGTCCATGGCACACATCTTGGGTCTATGGCACACATCTGGGTCCATGACACGCACATCCGGGGATAAGTCCAATCCGGCGGAGGCAGTGTCAGAGGCTGTCATGTGCACTCTCCCAATCTACAGGTAAGAAAGCCTGGGCGTCCATTCTGGTGCCACAGGTGAAATGGTCCCCATGGCTTCCGGCTGCTGAGGCCTCTCAGGGGCACAGGCAGAAGGTTCCAGGCCCCTGGGAAAAGCCTCCTGCAGAGGGTAAAACAGTTGGCTGCTGGGGGGTGAAAGCCTCATGGGGGCTTATGGGTAAGTGGCAGAGGGGCTCAAGGGGAAAGAGGACAGAACTGTCAGCCTCTGGTGCAGGACCCTCTGTGGGCAGGGCTCACCTACAGCTTTAACACTGGACTTGGGGCTCTGGTTTTCATGGAGTTGGGGGAAGCACTAGTTGATGTTCTTACCTATAGAGCCTGCTGCTCCTCATCCCCTAATGCTCCTGGGTGAGCCACGCACATCAAGATGCAAGGCTTATGAAGAGAGGTCCGCCAGCCACCACTCTATGAGACATTAGTCTCAGCCCCAAACTAGAATCATTCCCTGAAAAGACAGTGATAGTAAGAAGCATAGAGCTGTGTTGTGGATAGCTCTGCTGGGACCCACCACTCAATACAACTAAAGCCTTGACTTAACCTGGCCACGGGAGTGAGAGCTATTTTTTGACTGTGGTTGTTCAATACTGCACCTTGTGTAAATTGGACCAAGCTCTCTTTGCCTGGAACATCTGGTACAATCAGCACAAGGGAATCTCTGGTGTGCCTTTTGGGACAGTCAGTTCTGAGTTAGAGCACCGGATTTGATGGGGGGAGAAAAGGGACAGATTTCGTCTCACTCATCCTGTCTGCTGGGCACCATTGTGCAGTGTACACACTATACAACTGTACTGCCAGCCATTAGCTTTTAGCTGGTTTCAAGGAAACAGATTGCGCCATTGCCAAGGGCAGGGGTGAGGTCAGGATCATTTACCACTGGTATAAAGTGGGCATCCAAAAAGTCCCTGCTGAAGAAATGAGTGAATGATTTTAAAATGCCTTCTAGATTGTCTGGATTGTCACAGCCAGTCAGTTCTGAGTGAGTTGGAGCCTCTGGAAGGCTCATGTGAACCCTCAGGATGCCATAGAGAGAAAGGCAGGGCCAGCATTAGGGGGGCATGCCTGTGATCATGGTACTTGGCAGTCTGAGGCTACGAGTTCCTGGGAGCCTGGGTTATATAGACTCTGTCTATCTAAGGCTGTCAATGATGACAATAGTAACTACCAGAACAAGTAAAAGAATAAGAGAGTGAAAAAGAAAGAGAAAGAAGGCTTGTCTGGGTTCAGGATCTATTTTTAAAGGGCTGTTAGGAGCATGGAAAAAGTGAGGCAGTGAAAGATCCAGCTCAGCGTCAGTCACGTAGTGCCCCAATAAATGGCAGCTGTAATTATCATTGTTGGTGGTGGCAGCCCCAGAGGCTCTGAGATGACCTTTTTGGAGAGCTGGGTGGCCTTCTGGGCTTCGTATTGCCTTGACTGGGAGTCTCGTGGGAAGGTCTCATGAAATACAGCCGTGTATTGCTTAGAGACCAGGATTTGTTTTGAGAAATATGTTGTGAGACAATGTCATTGCCCTTTGCACACGGCAGAGAGTACAGCACCTGTCTAGATGGTTCTGCACACGGCTGTGTGGTGTGCCCATCATGCGAGTGGTAGGTCAGCTGACAAAATGTGGAAGGAGAGCAAGGATGTCTGTCCATAGGACATCGGTCCCTCGTGGGCCACAGCATCCTTTACATGAATGTCTTTATAGTCACACCTCGATTCCAGAAGCGGAATGATCTGGGCTTTGTGTTGCTGGCTGAAGCCATGCTGTCCCCACAGATACTGTCCAGTTAGCTGCACACTTAGTCCCCTCCCACGGTCAGAGCACCATCGATGGTGCAACAGCAGTAAGGGACTTTGAGCTGCTGGCCACCGAACGTTCCTTTAACGGGCCCTGGTTAGTTATATATCTCCATCTTTCCCACCCAAGTCTGCTGCTTCCGGTCCCCACTAATCCTCTTCTCTTCCAAAGGTCTGCTAGAAGACCTTTGGAAAAGCTTAGCCTTCAAGCACCTTTGTTCTGTAGCTCCAAAGCTCCAGCCCCCCCCAAACCCCCAGCATCATGCTTTTCCATGTGGTGGAGAATATTGGGAGGTCCTTCAGTGTCCCAAGTACAAACCGCTGTGGCTTGTGAATCCTGTGAAGTTTAGAGGGGGGCCTTCAGATTGTGAACACCTTATTCACAATCCCACCCAAGTTGTTTGAATGCTGTATTAAAAATATACTGAATATTCAAATGTGGACATTGATGTATGCTAAAACATGGTTCTTTGTGAGTGGTGCCTAGGGTCTGAAGTGGGTGTGGGTTTGAGTCCTTGCTGAAGTACTCAAGTTCTTATGTCCCATGGCAATGGATTGGAGCAGGGACACGTGGTTAGGAATAGAAATTTAGGCAGTTTATTAAGGAATGGAAATGGGAATGGGAGAATGGGAGAGGGCTGGTGAGCAGAGGGAAAAGTCCCAGAGTCCTCAGCTCTTTCTGTGATATTCACTTAGGACTGTTCTCTCACATTTGTACAGCCCGGACTTTTCTCGCACATGCTCTGTGTATGTTCGAAGCCCCGGTGGGGAAGGGCTTCCAGTTTTTCTTTACTTATGGGCTGCTCTTATCTGTTAATCTCGATGTGCCTTTCTCCAGTCTATCCTTCCATCACACAACGACTTCTCCAGCTTCCTAGTGAAGGTGGGTGTGGCTGGAGGCCTTGTTTAGGTGGCAGGTTCTGCTTCTGTAGGCCTGGGGATGCTGAAGTCCCAGGCCATCTGTGGAGAACTGCTGTGCATAATACTAGGAGGGGCAGGTGGTTGTAAGAAACTAGTATAGAGGTGATCGTGTCTGCATCTCTTGGCCACAACCATAATTTTAGGATGCGAGCATTGACAGCTGGGAGCTACCCAAGGAATCAAGCAGGGTGACATCCATTTGTCTCTACTACAGCTGGGTACCTGGAGTTGATGTCACAGGCTGTTTTGGGTGCCTGTGTCCCCTCTAGCTCTTTGTGTTCAGACTAGATCAGTGGAACTTCAGCCTAGGACTCTTTGCTGAAGCAGAGGAAGGAGGCAGGGGCTGCTGTTAGCCTCTCTCAACCTACCCAGGAAGGCAAGGATTCATGCCCAGGGGAGGAGCCATTCTTGAGGGCAGCTGGATGCTTGTTGTACATGCAGAAGCTAAGCACCTAGTGCACACATTTCCCAGGCCTCCTTGCTCTCTCACCTGGACGAATAGCCCAGTCTCTTCCTGCCTTGGTTTTCTCAGTGGTGGCGCATCAGCCCCACAGCCCCACCTGTCTACAGGAATGTTGGGAATAAGTTAGCTAAATAAATGCAGTACCATTGTCGGTTTACATTTCTCTGTTTGTGCCTTAGGCCCTTGGGTTCATCCCCAAAGAGAAAGCTGCTCCCTTGGGTCCCTACTTGCCTGCGTGATTCCCCCATTGTGTGCAGCCTACCCCAGAACATATCAAGTCCACTTTTGAAAATTTCTTTCAATTGATCTTTCCATGTTATTTCCAGTTATTCAAATGCGGCTTCATTTTCCTCACAGGGATGTGTTTTGGTTTGTTCACAGCTTCTCCTCTGAGCGCAACACTGCAAGGCACACAGGAGTTAGGAAGATGTTGGGGCAGTTGAATGAACAGAAATTCTGCTTTCTGAGTCTGTTCCATGTGACCTCAGGAAAGGAGCAGCTCTCTGATGATTCACATCAGAGCTGTGGTTACGAGATGAGCGAGGGCTAGGCAAGCCCCTGCCAGGTCATGTGGGCTTGTCCTTTGGACTAGACTCTGGGTGCATCCTCTCCATCTTCTGTCTCAGTTGAGCTCCTGTTGCCCAAAATACACATGTTTCAGGGGCGTCATTTGTGTTCCTGGATAGAGCAAGGTATCGGGAACATAGTGAGGATCTTTTTAAAAATTTTAATTAATTAATTAATTAATTTATCCCATGTGTTTTTTTACATCATATATCTTGATCCCATTCATTCCCTGTCCCATCACATCCATCATCTGTCCCTACATCTTCCCCCAATAAAACAAAATTCAAGAGAAGAAAATGAAGAAAATAAAATGATAAAAATAAAAAGAAGGGAAGGAATTAAAAATCTCACCATGGAAGCTGTAGTGCAACCCAACAATCACACCTTGTCCATTCATCTCTATATACTCCTTTGTCCATACATCTCTCTATACCCCTTTGTCCCTATATCTCTCTATACCCCTTTGTCCATACATCTCTACTTTCAAGACTTCACTGCAAAGAGACATTGGTCTGGTTGGAGGCCCCTGATCTCCACTATCCATTAAATGCTGGACTTCCACTAGGACTCTTCCTGGACATCCTGCTGGTGCCCTATGTTGTGGAGATCCTGCAATTTTGGGTCTGCAGGTCAGGTCCCTTCACATGCTTCAGCAGATCATAGACAGGGTGCATGCTGGGGCAGGCCAAGTCATAACCCTGGGTCTGGGCCTGGGAAGCTGTAGGGTTGGTCTACCAGATGGGAAATGGGGACAGGTCTCCCATGGTCACCATTTCTTGGCTGGCTCATCTACACCTTCGCTAACCATGTTGGCTCTGTTGTGCTGCCCTGGTGAGATGCAGGGCCTGCTCTCCCAAATGTTACAACAGGGATGGCTCTCCCACACTTATGATCACAGGGCCAGCTCTCCCACCTGCCCCAGGCATTGATGGGCAGGCAGGGAGGGGATTTCTTTCCCCAGTCCATGCTGCCCATAGTGAAGAGCTTGACTCTTAGGGCTGCTGTCTAGGTTGGACTCTGTGCTTGTTGGTTTGTTTTTGTCAACTTGAAACAAGCTGGAGTTGCTTGGGAAGAAGAAGCCTCAGCTGAGCAACTGCCTCCACCAGACTGGCCTGGGGGCAAGTCTATGGGGTGTTTTCTTGATGGATGTTTGCAGGGCCCAGCTCACTGTGGGCAGTCACTCTTGGGCAGGTGGGGCCCAGTTGTATAAGGAGGCGGGCTGTACCAGCAATGGAGAACAAGACATTAGGCAGCATTCCTCCATGCTCTCAGCTTCAGATCCGGCCTCCGGGTTCCTGCACTGACTTCCTGGATGATGGGCTGTGATGGGACTTTAAAGTTAAACACACCCTCTCCTCCTCCGAGTTGCTCTCAGTCATGGTGTTTATATAGAGACAGGAAGCAGACTAGGACAGGCTCTTAGGAGACTTGTAGTTAAAGCCATGTTCAGAAAGCTCACATGTTCTTTCCTGAGCAGAAATGGGAATGAGGTAGCACGCTTCCGGCTCCTGGATCTTACCTTTCCTGAAGCTTTCTTCATCTACCTCCTTCTTGGCCACCTTTCCTTCTGTTTTTGTTGTTGTTTGTTTGTTTTTTGAGACAGGGTTTCTCTGTGTAGTCTTGGTGCCTATCCTGGATCTCACTCTGTAGACCAAGCTGACCTCGAACTCACAGAGATCCACCTGGTTCTGCCTCCCGAGTGCTGGGACTAAAGGCATGCGCCACCACTGCCTGGCTCTACCTTTCCTTCTGTGTGCCTCTTTTCTCTGGTTTTCTGGAAAGACAAACAATGCTTACCTTTTATCTGTTTATCCTCACAAAGTCCCACCTCCACTGGAAGACAGCCTTTAAACGCAAGGGGGGTAGAGAATGCAGCTTGAAGCTTTCACAGCCAGAAGAATTTTAAAAGTCAGGAAAACCCACTAGTGCTTCCAATCCTAATCGAGTGAGTTATTATCTTTTTCCAATTTCATGCAGAGGGCGATGGAGACTCTGAGGGAATAAATAATTTCTTGAGATTCCAGGCACAGGGCTGTGTCCCTCATCTGTGACTCTCCCAGCCAGTGCATTATGCTCTGGAGACACACCTCGCCCTAATCTATTGCTCTAGTATTTATAACAACGCAGCCACAACTCATTTTTCTTGCTCCAGTGAATCAGCTACTGATACTTTTGATTCCCAAGAGCAAAATGCCACCTCGATCTCCGCGATCTGCCGGTGCTCTGGGCGCTGTCCTCAGGTCTGCTCTTTGCCCAAGTATGCCCTCCCCCACGCCTTACAGCCCACGCTGCCTGATATACAGCAAAACGAGTTTGTGATTTAGAGGCAGAAAAAGGTTAACTCTAAATAATGATGAGAAACTTAAAATATAGAGCCAGAATGTTGCTTTAGTTTTTATAGGTTTTAAATAATTTCACATCCTTCCCTGAAGGATTTAGCATAACTCAATGAGAAAATTGCGTTCGGATCCTGTGGGCTGCTTTGACGTGACTGGATTGCAATGAGGGGAGGCAAGACAGAGCCTTTGCCACAGTGAACCCGACAACCCGAGCTCAGAGAGGAATGACCTGAGAAATGCCCTGGCTTTCCCAGACTCCTGGGTCAGGCACTGTCACAGCTGGAGTGAGGTGAGGTGAGTGAGGCAGGGCCGGGGCATGCGGCTGGGCAAAGAGCAGTTGGGGAAGCTACGTGTTCAGCGCCACTCAGAGAAGATCCTGGTGCTTTCCCGTCTTCTTGCTTTTAGCTTGGGATTGACATCTTTGTGGGAGTGGCCAGGGTCTGTCCTTGCTGTTTATAAATGGTATGAATCAGGTCTGTTCTTGAGTGCCATTAATACAAAACTTGGGTGTGGTAGGAGTGAGCTTTGTCACTGCGATCAAAATATTGTGAACAACTTAACGGAACAAGGGTTCCAGAGTGTTCAGTCCCTCATGCTGGCTCCACTGCTTCTAGGCCTGTGGTGAGGCCGAGCTTTGCTGCACTGGGAGCATGTGGTGAAGCTACTCGCCTCATTGCAGATGGGGAGCAGAGAGAAGGCATACAGAAAGAGGTCTCGGCAAGACAAAGCCCCAAAGACACACCCAAGTGATCTACTTTCTCTAATAATGTCCCCCTCCTATTTTCATCCCCCCCCCACCCACTAAGGCCTTCTTATTATGAATCCATCAAAGCACAAACTCATTGATTAGGCCAGAATCCTCAGCAACTAATAGTCTCTGGAAACATTCTCCCAGACACACCTACAAGCAATTGTACAATATGTGTATATGTGCTGTGTGTCTATGTGTAGCGCATGTGTGTCTGTGTGCACAAGATTGTGCATGCATGTGTGTGTGTGCTTGTGTGTGTGCATGAGATTGTGAATGCATGTGTGTGCTCGTGTGTTTGTGGTGCATGTGTGTTTACATTAGTGTGTGCCGATTCTTGTGCTTACTGTTTACAGAGGCCAGTTAGAATGTCAGATGTCCTGCTCGATCATTCTTTGTCTTATTCCCCTGAGATTGTCTCTTACTGAACTCATATCTAGGCTGGAGTCCAACAAGCCCAGAGACGCTCCTTTTTCTGCACTCTGATAGTGTTGGGGTTACAGGTGTGTGCGCACAGACATACCCACAGGTGTGTGCACACGGACCTACCCACAGGTGTGTGCGCATGGACATACCCACAGGTGTGCGTGCACGGACATACCCACAGGTGTGTGTACATGGACATACCCACAGGTGTGTGGGTATGGGGGATAAGATCTGGTCTCTAGTCTCTGTGCCTGCACAGCAACTCTTTGGGCTTACCTTTACTCTGCTCTGTCCCCCAAATAAGTCAATGAATAAATAAATGGATTTTTATGGAAAGTTGAGAAGGTCCTGTTTAGTAGTCTCTACCCTCTTCTTTCTCATTGCTGTTATTTCTTGGTGAGGGTGTGGCTTTTATTTTGGACACCGACGCGTTCCTGCTTTTGACATATTGAGCACCCATTTGGAAGTAGGCGTCTCCACTGTCCGCTCCACACACCACGTCTTGGCTAGTTCTCACAGCACTCCTAGGAGGGAGGTTTTATTGGCATCCATCTGTCAGATGAGAGGGAGACATTTGCCCGGGATCGCAGAGTGAGCAGGAAACAGTGGACGTCAGGTACAGGAATGAGCAGGCAGATGGCGGGGACATGAGCTTGGTGGCTGTCTTTAACCCAGAGCAGCTGCTGACAAGGTTCTGAGAGTCACAAAGTGCTCCAACATAGCTTTGCACCCCAGGACTCTGGGTCAGATCTGGGGATTCTTATGTCAGGCCACTGTCCCCATCCCCCCACAGCTACCCCAAGTCCCTGCTTTTGCAAGCCAGGAGCTCCCACAGCAGGAGGAATGCATCACCCATGATTCACTGCCCTGCACTGGCTTTGGGACTGCCCTCTTTAAAAGAAGCCAATTTATTTTTTATTCAAAATCTATATGAAACAATTGAACAGTAAAACTGTCCGCTCCACCATCTCCTTCAGCAGGGAAACATGATGGCATCTGAAATTAGCCCTCCCCTCCTCTTCCTTCCATGCCCTCCCTTCCTGTCCATTCCCTCCCCTCCCTTCCTCTTCTCTCTACCCCCTCCCCTCCCCTCCTCTTCCCTCCAGTCCTTCCCTCCCTTCCTTAAGTATTTTGAACACCTATGCTGTGCCATGGCTTGGGCTAAGTTCTGATTTCCTCTCCACACACCTCCCCCTGAGACCTAATTTCTACCAGATGTTTTTGGTCTTTGGACTTGACTCTCAAGCGCTCAGGTGCTAAAGGGGTTCTGAGTCTTTGGCCTCTCTGAAAGCACAGATGGTGATGTCTGGAGCAGCTCAGCTGTGGAGCACCTGGCTGACTCGCATGCCCAGCTCCGGGGAAAAAAAAGTTCAGTGCTGTATTTTAGAAAAGTGGAGACCTGGGTCAGGAAGCCAGCTCTGCCCAAGATCTATAGACTTTGGGGCCTGCCTGGAGAAAGATGCCTTCACCTGACAACCGCCATGAAGGTTCTGCTGTGCACCCACCTCTGGAATGTTCTCCCAGGAGAGGACTGAGGGTTAGTTCACTGTTCATTGCCTGGAGTGATATCTAGTGCTTAGAAGTTGCTCAGTGCATTTTTGGCCAGTGAGAGAATAAAAGAAAGTCTGGAACCTAGTCCTAGTGCCCCAGGGACCCCCAAACCCGGAGTCATGGGGCTGCAATCTCCAGAACCTCTATGTATAAAGTTTTCTGTTACTGGGAGTTTAGGCCCCTGAATGGATAATGGTCATTGTGACTGTGCAGCCGGGTGGGAAGCAGGCTTATCTGTCTCCCTGGTGCTGCAGTCCATTTACTGGGCTGGGTGAGGTGCTCTCAGGAGATGGAACAGACCTTCGTGGGTCATCACTTCTTTATGCTGGCCCGAGGCAAGGCAGGCACTGCCTTCCCAGAACTGGGGAACATAAACCCTGCCTGCTGACAAGTTGCCGCCCGCAGCGTTTACCCACTCACTTTATCTTGTGGCTATCATACATCATTGATGCAGCCTCCCCCGACCCACCTTCAGGAGTGCTGAAGGACAAAGGGGGCTCTGGGCCAGCTCAGAGGGGCAGATGGTACTGCAGACTTGTGAGACTCAAGGACCCTTTTTCATGCTCAGTAAGTGGGGGCTGTGGTGGGCACAGCCTGGAAAATTCTATTGTTTTTTCTCTCAGTCCATTCCTCTGGTCCTATATGATCCCTCACGGCAAGCAGCAGAGAAGGGTCTGAATATCTAGGATGATGGGAGCTGATCAGCTGATACAATGAATGTAAAGAGTTCAACAGAGCTGGCTGTCTGATCATGTGATGCCTGGGAGGGTCCAGCTCCAAGGGATAGGACTGGGACACTAGTCGGGGTTCAGATCCCAATTCCACCTCTTTCCAGCTGGGCTACATTAAAACCCCAGTCCCACTGACCAATCAGCAGCATTAACGACCACTTTATCTCAGGGATGGCATAGGTTATTGATTCTGCCTCCTTAGCATCTATGGGTGAGGTGCCAAAGGGCAAAGACCAGCAATTTTTGGGGGCTCTTTTGCACCTTGGTTTTTTCTTTGTAAAATGAAAAATCAATAGTATGTAGCTCATACAGTTATTTTGACAGTTCGATGAGTTCATGTGGGGAGAGCTCAGAGCGAGGCCTTGTGTATTAAAAGCTGTCCATAAGGGTCTCCTGTGTCTTCCAAGGCTTCCTCTCATCCCCAACCCTGCATGGGAACTCTGTCCTCTTGGTGGCACCAGTGCTTTTTAATGTTGTAGGAATGGATCCTAACTCCTGTGTCGTATCTCCCCTTCTGTTATGAGCTCTGGGTGGTAGCTCTTTGAAGTTATGGTTCTGGACAGAGCAATGGCCTTTCAAAGATGGCCATTAGTTTAGTCCCCGGCAGCCCATGATATGTGAGAATATATTGCAAAGGAGATTTTGTAGATGGAATTAAATGAAATTGTCTTGAGAAGATGATCCTGGGTCACCCCAGGGGTACTGCTGTAATCACAATGGTCCCTCTCAGAGGCATGGATACAGGGAAGGTGGAGGATGGGGCAGGAGGAATAAGAGCTGTGAGGCTAGGTTTGATGCTGTAGCAAGGAAGGCAGTAGCCTGTAGGAGCTGCAAAAGGCAAGGAAGCAGGCTCTCTCTAGGACCTCCACACCTTTCTGAGCCCCAGTATTGAGGGAATCTTGTTATAGTACCCATAAGGATTAAACACAGCTACCCATCAAAGGGACGGACAGCAAGGGAAGCCCTGGGTCCAGATGGACTGGGCTCCTCACTGGTTTGCTGGGTGACTGGATGAATGCTGTGGCATCTGCTGGGGGATGTCTTTCTGTATGCTGTAAATAAATGTTGTTCCCATTGGTTAGTAAATAAACTGCATTGGCCTATGGCAAGGCAGCTAAGAGGCAGGAAAGAGAAAAGCAGAGTGTGGAGAGACGCCAGCCTGCTGCCCAAGGAACAACATGCCAGCGGAGCAGTAAAGCCATGGAACACGTGGTAAAACATAGATTAATAGAAATGGATTAATTTAAGATATAAGAGCTAGCTAGTAAGAAGCTTGAGCCATAGGCCATCCAGCTCATAATTAATATAAGCCTCTGTGTGTTTACTTGGGTCTGAGCAGCTGTGGGGCCAGGCGGGACACAGGAAAACTTACAGTTATAGGCATCTCTGAGCTTGCTTTCCTCATCTATACAGTGGGGGGGGGGGTTACTGCTGTTAAAAGCTCAAGTCCCACCATACTACAGACCCCAGGCTCTAAGCCAGACTGTAGCAGGGAGCGGGTATCTATCTTCCTCCAGCTGAGCCCCACTGAGCTGATTGCCTCCTCTCTTCTTGCTCATGCCAATGGCTGGCATGGGGTCAGAAGGCTCCCCTGGGCCATTTTGAGGTGCAAGGGGAGCAGGGCTGCAATGAGTGGTGCAAAGGTCAAGTGGAGGCTTCATTCCTTGCTCTCACTGGGTCTGCCGAGGCTTCAGCACTATTCAACATACACACTAGTTCTCCCACATGTCATCCATGATCTCCCCAGTCCTAACGACAGTCCTGCAACAGTTACTCAAAACTGATGGGAGCACATTGGTAAGATGGCCACCTCATCCTCACACTAGCCTCTAGTCTACAAACATCACTAAGAGTCCACTGTGCACTGGCCACTAGATGTAAGGGAGACAGTCCCTCTCTCTTCCTCTTTTTCTTCCCCTCCCTCCCCCTTCCTCCCCTCCCTTTCCCCTAGAGCTTAAATTCTGAAGGACAAAGAGAAACAACAAGTAAATGAAGAGGGACATGAATACACAAGCAGTTGTTACAGTTCAGCATTGGGAAGAAACTGAGGCAGGTCATCACGTGAGAAGCATGACTTGGGGCTAGCTTGCTAGGTTAGATGTCCGAACTGGACCTCTACAGGAGACTGGGTGGAGAAAGTCTGCAGATTGGCCCTAAGCTCTAATTCTCTCTGTCGATTTGGAGCCCATGGCCGACTTCCTGTAAACAGAAATGTGAAGCCTGGGCTCTGCACAGCAGGTTTGGAGGGAGAGCATCCAGAAGCTAGTGCTTGGTCAGCCAGCCCCCAAACTGACTTTCCTGGGAGCTCCTTAGGAGCTTGCCATCTGTGACAGACCTTAGAGGAAGAAGGATGTACTTGAACTCATGGCATCTAGGGTGTCAGTACACAGTCCATGGGCTTCTCTGCTGTGGGTCTATGAAGCTGTCAACTTGACAGAATCTAGAATCACCTGGGAGATGGGCCCTTGGGCCTGCCTATGGGGGATTATCTTGGTTACGCTAATGGAGGTGGGAAGACCGGTCCACCGTGGGTGGTACCATTCCCCGGCCTGGATCCTGGGTGAAGAAAGGGGGCTGAGCAGCAGCAGGTATTCAGTCCTCTTTGCTTCCTGATTGTGGATGCAATGTGGCCAGCTGCTTCAAGTTCTTGCTGCCTTGACTTCCCTACCACGATAGATTGTACCTTGAACTGTGAGATAAAATGAACCTTCCTCCTTAAGTTACCTTTGCTGGAGCGTTTCATCACAGCAACAGGAAAACAAACCAAGGCATAGCATTGTGGCTACAAGAGCCTGTGGTGGAACAACGTTGCTTATCTCACGGTGGCCAAGAAGCAGGGAACGACCTGGGAGGTAGCTCAGTTGGCAGAGTACATGCTGGTTTCAATCCTCAGCAACACATGGTGGCCAGGCCTAACATTCTAGCGCTTGAGAGGGAGGTAGAGGCAGAAGGATGAGAAGTTTGAGGTCATCTTCAACTACATAGAGAATCTGAGGCCAGTCGAGGCTAACTGAAACTCTGTCTATAAAAATAAAAAGAAAGAAAAATTGAAAAAAGGAGCAGAGACGTGGGAGTAAGGTTCGGGTTGGTGGTGTAGCCTTCTAGGACACACCCAGCACCCACTTTTCCTAACGAGGCTCCACACTCTCAGCAGTTCTGCCACCTCTCATTGTCTGTTCAGGTTTTGAACCTATCAGCGAACCAATCTACTGATGAGGTCAGTGTCCATGGACTGGTCTGTCCCACAGCCGCACACCGGGAGCCAAGCCTTCTACACATTAGTCTGTGGGAAAACCCTCGTGTCTGAACCTTAACAGGCTCCCCCCAGGGCTTGGGGAATGAGCAGTGCTCCTCCTGGGAGAGACAGGACCTTCAGTACCTGGTGCCTATAATTCAGCTGCTCTTGGTTGTAGGGGAGAGTATTCCTGACTGTGGGGCCTGCATCTCATTTTTGGTGGTGGCGGCGGCTGTGTGACTCAGGACTCATCTGCGGCTCAACAGTGCACATGGGGCATAATCCACGGTATGGGGCTTACAAGGTCACAGTGTGGAATAGAGACCCTGAGCTCAGATCCCATCCCTGCTGTCCCATGGTTGTGTGACCTTGGGTGGATCCCTGAGCCCTCTTGTCTTCCTCACTGAGGAATGGGGTGAATCCAGCTCCTCCTTAAGGCAGTTTTAATGTCAAATGCATGGCTGTTTACGAAGCTCTGGTACACATTCTGCTTGGCAGGATAAATGCCAGTGTGTGCATTTGGGGAGTGTATACTCACGTGCAGTATTCTTGTTGGAGAAATACCACTTAGACTTCTGACATTGAACTCAAAAGAGAGCTGCAAACTATTTTATTCAGAAATTAACCGTTGGGTTTGAAAGAAGACATTTATTCTAAAACTATAAATTTATGTCCCATTCCTGGACCTCGCTGCCCATGGGGAACACAAAATTGATAATATTATAACATTCCCATAATTATCATAAAAAGAGTATAATTACAGTGCTTTATGTTTTTCCCTCTCCTAAAGGTGTTAAAATGTTAATCCGTTCACTCGCGATATGCCAGGACCATCTGGGTATTCTTTTAGTTTTTAAAAATGTCAGGAGCCCCTGGTCCCCACTTTGTACCTGCCTGACTCAGCAGGGCATGAAGATGAGGGATAGAGGAGTCTCTAAAACACACATTTAAAAAAAACACCAGAATGAGATCTAATACCTTGGAGGCTAATTTAAAATGAAGATTAAAAAGTCATTTGAGAATAGTCAATGGATAATTAAGTAAATAAACAAAAGTCAGGGGTCTAAGAGAGTGGTAAGGGTTCAGGGCCCCCCCAATACTTTTGGAGGTGAGCAGGTAAACAGGAAGGAGGTCTGGGAGGAGACACTGTCCCCAGCACCTGGC